CTATGCCAGGTCAAAGACAGAAGCCAGGAACTCCATCTAGGGCTCACATGTGGGTGACAGAGACCCCAAATACTTTGGACCATCATCTGCTGCCTTCCCAGAGGGAAGCTGGACTGGAAGCAAAGGAATCAGGACTCTGAACAAACCGAAGTGGGGTGTGGGCATCCCACGTGGCAGTTTAACCTGCTGTGCCATAACACCCACCCTAATATTTGCTTTATAGCAGAACCTTGTGAAGAAAGGACTTGTTGATAAATTGTGATGCATGTTCTTTGTTGTGGACTGGCCTTTTGAGTAGCAAAAGAAACCTGGAGGGTAATTGGCAAGAAAATATCTAAACTGAAGCACAAATAGATAAAAGGCTGGAAAAAGAAAAGAAAGAGATTTTAGGAGTTGAAACAAGGTATAACTTACAAACAGAAAAAATAGTTCTACAACGATTGAAGCAGTAGTTTTCAAAATATTTGTATTGTAATCAACACTTTTATAAAATATAGTAAAAATATAACAGTGTAAAATTAATAACTACTTAAATCTCATTTTTTGTACTTTTCTCATTATGGGCTCATACAAATGGTTTACAAACTAATACTGATGCACAGACCACAGCTTAAGTGGCATGGTACGAAAAGAACCTGAATTCATAACTAAAATCTTCCTCACTAAGAGAATTCCAGGTCTATATAACTTCACCGATAGATTTTCACATATGTTTAAGAAGTAATTATACAGGGCCCGCGCCGCAACTCACTAGGCTAATCTTCCACCTTCGGCACCAGCACTCCGGGTTCTTGTCCTGGTTGCTCCTCTTCCAGTCTGGCTCTCTGCTGTGGCCCGGGAAGGCAGTGGAGGATGGCCCAAGTGCTTGGGCCCTGCACCCACAGGGGAGACCAGGAGGAAGCACCTGGCTCCTGGCTTCGGATCGGCGCAATGCACCGGCCATAGCAGCCATTTGGGGGTTTAAGCAATAGAAAAAGGGAGACCTTTCTCTGTGTCTCTCTCTGTCTAATTCTACCTGAAAAAAAAAAAAAAAGTAATTATACAACTTTCTAGAATATTGAAAAAACAATACTCCCAACTCTTTAAAAGGCCACTATAACTGATAACCAAATCTGACATAAGTTACAATTTAAAAATCACAGGATATTCTCATGAATATAACATAAATACAAATAATCAACAAAATACTGTCAGACTACATACTGCAACATTTTCATGGTCTACTTGATTTTACTCTGTAGTGCAAAGTAGCTTTAATGTTTGAGGATTAATGTAATTTACCATATTAAGAGAATGGAGAAGAAACATCATGTAATCATTTTCACACTGAGAAATCATTTGATAAAGTTTAGCATTCATTCATGGTTTTAACAAAAAAATTAGAAAATAGCAATAAGAAAGGAACTAGTAAATTTACAGCAAACATAGTAATTCATGGTGACGTGTTGAAAACTTTCCCCTTAAGTCAGGAGTGAGATGAGGATGCCTGCTAACATATTTCTAGTCAGGTTTCATTTGAAAAGGCAAGGATGCTTGATATCCTCACTTGGATTCAAGGTGTAATATGATAAGGATGAAATAAACCTATCATTTACAATGCAGGGTCCCTAATATTTAAAATTCAAAAGCATAGGGCCAGCGCTGTGGTACAGCAGATTAATGCCTTGGCCTGAAGCACTGGCATCCCATATGAGGACCGGTTCAAGACCTGGCTGCTCCAGTTCCGATCCAGCTCTCTGCTATGGCTTGGGAAAGCAGTAGAGGATGGCCCAAGTCCTTGGGCTCCTGCACCCATGTGGGAGACCCAGAAGAAGCTCCTGGCTCCTGGCTTTGGATTGTCACAGCTCCGGCTGATGCAGCCAATTGGAGAGTGAACCATCGGATGGAAGACCTCTCTCTCTCTCTCTCTCTTCCTCTCCTATCTCTGTGTAACTCTTTCAAATAAATAAATAAATCTTAAAAAAAAAAATGAGAATCCAAATCAAGGTTGCTGTATACAAGGATCATACGTAAAAAAAAGAAAACTCAGTTATTTCACATAAACAACGTGATTTAGGGATAATACTATTTTCTTTTTCATTTGTTTATTTTTCTGAAAGGCAGAGTTATACAGAAAGAAAGATAGATAGAGGTCTTCCATCTGCTGGTTCATTCCCCAAATGGCCACAACTGCCAGGGATGGATCAGGCCAAAGCCATGAGCCAGGAACTTCCTCTGGTCTCCCATGTGAGTGCAGGGGCCCAAGCACTTGGACTGCCTTCCACTGCTGTCCTAGGCACATTAGCACTGACCTGGATTGAAAGTGGAGTAGGGCCGGCGCCGCGGCTCACTAGGCTAATCCTCCGCCTAGCGGCGCCGGCACACCGGGTTCTAGTCCCGGTCGGGGCGCCGGATTCTGTCCCGGTTGCCCCTCTTCCAGGCCAGCTCTCTGCTGTGGCCAGGGAGTGCAGTGGAGGATGGCCCAAGTGCTTGGGCCCTGCACCCCATGGGAGACCAGGAAAAGCACCTGGCTCCTGGCTCCTGCCATCGGATCAGCACGGTGCGCCGGCCGCGGCAGCCATTGGAGGGTGAACCAACGGCAAAGGAAGACCTTTCTCTCTGTCTCTCTCTCTCACTGTCCACTCTGCCTGTCAAAAAAAAAAAAAAAAAAAAAAAAAGTGGAGTAGCAAGACTTGAACCAGCACCGTATGGGATGCTATTGTCACAGGCAGTGGCTTTACCCACTTTGCCACAACACTGGCCCCTAAAAGGAAACTATTTATAGTAGCATCTAAGAACAAACAAATATATAAGAAAAAGCCTAAAAATATACTGTGTAGACTAAACTATAAAACGTTTAGGGCACAGTAAAATAATTTTTCTAATTGTCAAATATCTTTAAAAGTCCTAAATAAATGTAACAAATATTGGCCGGTGCCGCGGCTCACTTGGCTAATCCTCCGCCTGCGGCACCGGCACACCGGGTTCTAGTCCCGGTTGGGGTGCCGAGTTCTAGTCCCAGTTACTCCTCTTCTAGTCCAGCTCTCTGATGTGGCCCGGGAAGGCAATGGAGGATGGCCCAAGTGCTTGGGCCCTGCACCCGCATGGGAGACCAGGAGGAAGCACCTGGCTCCTGGCTTCGGATCGGCGCTGCCGGCCGTGGCAGCCATTTTGGGGGTGAACCAACAAAAGGAATACCTTTTCTCTCTCTCTCTCTCTCTCTCTCTCGCTGTCTCTCTCGCTGTCTAATTCTGCCTGTCAAAAAAAAAATATTGTATTTGTGGATTGAAACTTTGTGTTTTTTGTCAGGCAGGGTTAGACAGTGAGAGAGACAGAGAGAAAGGTCTTCCTTTTTCCATTGCTTCACCCTCCAAATGGCTGCTACGGCCAGCGCGCTGCACCAATCTGAAGCCAGGAGCCAGGTGCTTCCTCCTGGTCTCCCATGCGGGTGCAGGGCCCAAGCACCTGGGCTATCCTCCACTGCCTTCCCAGGCCACAGCAGAGAGCTGGACTAGAAGAGGGGCAACCGACCTGCACCCCATGGGAGACCAGGAAAAGCACCTGGCTCCTGGCTCCTGCCATCGGATCAGCGCGGTGCGCCGGCCGCAGCGCGCCAGCCGCGGCGGCCATTGGAGGGTGAACCAACGGCAAAGGAAGACCTTTCTCTCTGTCTCTCTCTCTCACTGTCCACTCTGCCTGTCAAAAAAAAAAAAAAAAAAAAAAAAAAAAGAAGAGGGGCAACCGGGACTAGAACCCAGGGTGCTGGTGCCGCAGGCGGAGGATTAGCCAAGTGAGCCATGGCACCAGCGAAACTTTTAATGTTATAAAAATATTGATTTAAATCCAAATATAGATTTAGTATGATTTCAACAATCTCAGTAGGGTTTTTTGCTGGGAGGAGGGATAAAGAACTTGAAATGCCATAAAATTTATATGGCGGTATGAAGGGTCATGTAGTCAAGATAGTTTTGAAGGTGAATAACAGTGTTGGTGGCCTTTATTGGGTATTAAAATCTATTAGAAAACTATAATAGTGAAGATATTGCCATTTAAATGTAACAATGAACAAGTGTCTAACTGGTCTAACTGTAACCTTGAGAAACTGAGCCAGTGTTGTAAAAAAGAAACCACAGATTTTAAGATAATACCAGTATAAGGAAACAAGAAAAATAGTAGAGTTCAGTCAGCTATTTTACTCGTTTTATCTTTACAATGAAGTCATAAGCATCTGAATATTAGAGACTATATATTTTTTAAGACTTTATTTATTTATTTGAGTGATGGAGTTACAGACAGTAAAGGAAGATACAGAGAGAAAGGTCTTCCATCCACTGTTTCACTCCCCAAATGGCCGCAACACCCAGAACTGAGCTGATCCAGAGGCAGGAGACAGGAGCTTCTTCTGTGTCTCCCACACAAGTACAGGGACCCAAGCATCTGTGCCATCTTCTACTGCTTTCCCAGGCCATAGCAGTGAGCTGGATCAGAAGAGGAGCAGCTGGGACTAGAACTGGTGCCCATAATAGGATGCCGGTGCCGCAGGCAGAGTATTAACCTACTGAGCCACAGTGCCAGCCCCGTGAGAATATATCTTAACAGTAGTTCCCCCTCATCCACAGGGGATGCCTGAAATTTTGGATAGTACTAAACTCTATATATTGATATATACTGAATTTTTCCTACATACGTATCTATCATAAAGCTTAATTTCTAAATGAGGTATAGTCAGAGATCAGCAACTATAAGTAATAAAATGAGCGGTATAGCAATATGTTGAAATAAAAGGTGAATGTAATCTTTCTCCCCCAGGAATAGCATACTGTACTATACTGTACTGACTGCCCTCTGTGGGTAGCGGGAACCACAGAAAACAAGACCGTGGATTAAGGGTCCTGCTGCACTCTTCAGGCATCTTCAGTGTAGTCTGCCATTACAGTAGGTGTACAGGAGGTGTTTAATAGTTACTTTGAATTGACTATTGTATGTTTAAGTTAACTCTCTTGACTCTTTTTTGGTTTTAGATCTGCTGATTTGGGTCCTTCTTTATTGACAAGACCTGGACAACCAACACTTACCAGAGTGCCCCCACCTATTCTTCCAAGGCCATCACAGCAGACTGGAAGCAGCAATGTGAACACTTTCAGACCTGCTTACAGTTCATTTTCTTCTGCATATGGTGCCTATGGGAATTCATTTTACGGAAGCTATAGCCCTTACAGTTATGGATATGGTGGGTTGGGATATAACCGCCTCCGTGTGGATGATCTTCCACCCAGTAGATTTGTTCAGCAAGCCGAAGAAAGCAGCAGAGGTGCCTTTCAGTCCATTGAAAGCATTGTGCATGCTTTTGCCTCTGTCAGTATGATGATGGATGCTACGTTTTCAGCTGTGTATAACAGTTTCAGGGCCGTATTGGATGTAGCAAATCACTTTTCCCGTTTAAAAATACACTTTACAAAAGTGTTTTCAGCTTTTGCGTTAGTTAGGACTATAAGATATCTTTACAGACGGTTGCAGTGGATGATAGGTTTAAGAAGAGGCTCTGAGAATGAGGACCTCTGGGCAGAAAGTGAAGGAACTGTGGCTTGCCTTGGTGCCGAGGACCAAGCAGCTAACTCAGCAAAATCTTGGCCAATATTCTTGTTCTTTGCTGTTATCCTTGGTGGCCCTTACCTCATCTGGAAACTTCTTTCTACCCACAGTGATGAAGTAACAGGTAAGAAAAATGGAATGGGTTCAAAAGCCATATTATAATTCAATTGTCAAGAAGAGATTTATTAAATTAGTATTTTTATTTTCACCTTGTATTTATTAACTTGATCTGGTTACATTTTCAGTTAAGAACTTTCAAAGTAGAAGAGGAATATGTAGCAAAAATAGGCTTGTTAAAGTATTTATTGTTCAATTAGCTTAACAATACCTTTCGCCTAACTTCTGTTTATAAGGTACAAAGCTTGGTGCTATAGAGGATACAAAGATACACAGGGCATAATCTCTATCTTTCTGAAACGTCTTGATTGGAAGGTGGTTAAGACATAAATATAGGTAACTGTAGAGCCAGAAAGAGTATGGTAAGGAATGTGATAGTGAGGAGTGAGACCTATGATTTCCTGGGCCTTTTTGTATGCAGGACACTGTGGTAGCTAGGTATTTATATCTCACTTCACTGTTTAAACAACCGAAAGAGAGGAATTCTGCACACTTTAAGAGTGACAAAACAGTTGAAATAAATCACTTTCCTGAGGTCATGTCTTTAGTAAGGCAGAACCAGTAACAAAACCTGGGCTTGCTAGACCATTAAGCCTGTACTCTCTCAACTGGTACAGAATGCTGTCTTACTTTAGAAAAGTGAAGCAAACATTTCTTGTTAGGGTACAGGAGGAAATAACATCTGAGTTACACTTTGACATATGGGTAATACTTCATTGGTTAAATAGAGGGAGGGAAAAAACTGTCAAGCAGATGAAACAGCTTGAACAAAAGTATGTAGGCAGGGGCTTGGGACGGTGGCCTAGCAGGTAAAGCCACCGCCTGCAGTGCCTACATCCCATTTGGGTGCCGGTTCGAGTTCCGGCTGTTCCACTTCTGATCCAGCTCTCTGCTATGGCCTGGGGAAGCAATGGAAGATGGCCCAAGTCCTTGGGCCCCTGCACCCATGTGGTATACCTAGACAAAGCTCCTGGCTCTTGACTTTGGATTGGCTCAGCTCGGCTGTTGCAGCCAGTTGGGGAGTAAACCAGCCAATGGAAGACCTTTCTCTCTCTTTCTCTCTCTCTCTGTCTCTGCCTCTGCCTCTCTGTAGCTCTGCCTTTCAAATAAATAAAAAGTCTTAAAAAAAACAAAAAACATACATAGGCAGAAAATCAGGCTGGCCTTAGGGCTTAGCAGGTTAAGCTGCTGCTTGCCACACCAGCAACTCCATATCAGAGTGCCAGTTTGAGTTCCATCCAGCCTCATACTGGTATGCCTGGGAAGGCAGCAGAAGATGGTCTAAGTACTTCGAACCCTACACCCTATGTGGGAGACCAGGATGTAATTCCTGGCTTCAGCCATTTAGGGAGTGAACCAGTGGGTAGAAGATTCTCTCTGTCTCTCTCTCTCTCCTTCCCTCCCTCCCTCCCCTTTTTCCCCTCTCTTCCCCTCTCTCTCTCTGGTGCAAGATTCTGTGTGTGTGTGTGAGAGAGAGAGAGAGAGAGACTCTGTGTTTCAAATAAATAAATAAATCTTTAGAAAAAGAGAAATGTAAGATTTGCTGAATAGTTACCATATAGCATTGAATAGAAGGATGGTAAGAAATAAGACTGAGGGGGCCGGTGCTGTGGCATAGCAGGTAAAGCCTCCGCCTGCAGTGCTGCATCCCATATGGGTGCCGGTTCGAGATCCAGCTGCTCCACTTCCGATCCAGCTCTCTGCTGTGGCCCGGGAAAGCAGTAGAAGACGGTCCAAGTCCTTGGGCCCCTGCACCCATGTGGGAGACCTGGAGGAGGCTCCAGGCTCCTGGCTTCGGATCAGTGCAGCTCTGCCCGTTGTGCCAATTGGGAGTGAACCAGTAGATGGAAGACCTCTCTTTCTCTGTCTCTCTTCTCTGTGTAACTCTGACTTTCAAATAAATAAATCAATCTTATGCAAACGTTTCTTAAAAAAATAAGACTGATAAGGCAGGGTAAAGGCTTAATAGTAGAATATTGTAATTTCATTTTAAGAGTTAATCTTTACTTAGTAAGGAATGATTTTTTTGGTAGTTTTTTTTTTGTTTTTTGTTTTTTGTTTTTTGTTTTTTGTTTTTTTTTTGACAGGCAGTGTGGACAGTGAGAGAGAAAGGTCTTCCTTTTGCCATTGGTTCACCATCCAATGGCCGCCACGGCCAGCACATCCCGCTGATCCGAAGCCAGGAGCCAGGTGCTTCTCCTGGTCTCCCATGGGGTGCAGGGCCCAAGCACCTGGGTCATCCTCCACTGCACTCCCTGGCCACAGCAGAGAGCTGGCCTGGAAGAGGGGCAACCGGGAAAGAATCCATTGCCCCAACCAGGACTCGAACCCAGGGTGCCAGCGCCGCAGGCAGAGGATTAGCCTATTGAGCTGCGGCACCGACGGTAGCCTTTTTCTTAAGATTTATTTATTTATTTATTTGAAAGGCAGATTTACAGAGAGGCAGAGAGAGAGAAGTCTTCCATCCACTGTTTCACTCCCCAGATGGCCACATCTGAGCTGAGCCAATCTGAAGTCAGGAGCCAGGAGCTTTCTCAGGGTCCCTCATGCAGGTGCAGGGGCCCAAGGACTTGGGCCATCTTCTGTTGCTTTCTCAGGCCATAGCAGAGAGCTGGATCAGAAGTGGAGCAGCCAGTACTCGAAATGGTACCCATATAGAATGCCAGCATTGCAGGCAGTGGCTTAGCCCACTACGTCACAGCGCCAGCCCCTTGGTAGTTTTTGTTTAGTAATTTTTAGGTTTTGCTTTTTTGTTTTTTTATTTAAGAGACAGAGAGAGAGAGAGAGAGCACTCTCATCCAGTGGTTCATTCCCCAAATGTCCACAGTGACCAGACTTGGGCCAGGTCAAAGCCAAGAGCCATGAACATAGTCCAGTTCTCTCATGTTGGTGGCAGGAACCCAATTACATGAGTTGTCAGCACTGCCTCTTAGGGTCTGCTTTAGCAGGAAACTGCAGGCATCGAATCTAGCACTCCCAATATATAATGCAGGCATCATAACTTTTGGGGCAAATATCCACCACAGTTTTTGCTTTTTTTCAAGCAGGCTGTGATATACATCTAAATAGTGCTCCCAAGAGGTCAGTCTATCTATAAACAGTAGAAGATGAGTCAGTAGAGGTTAAGACAGATTGAGTGGCCAGTGTTGCGGTCTAGTGGATACAGCCGCCACCTGCAATGTGATCCAGCTCCCTGCTGATGGCCTGGGGAAAGTAGCTGAAGATGGCCCAAGTATTTGGGGCCCTGCCACCTATGTGGGAGACCTGGAAGAAGCTCTTGGCTCCTGGCTTCAATCTGGCCCAGCCCTGACTATTGCAGCCATCTGGAGAGTAACCAACGGTGGAAGGTAGCTCACTCGCTGGCTCGCTCACTTGCTTGCTCTCTCTCTGTAACTCCAACTTTCAAATAAACAAATCTTTGCGGAAAAAAACAGGTTGAAATTAGTAAGATTCATAAAGGATTTGAGTTACATTTACCTTTGTATTCTGAATATCTAACAACCTGCTTGGCACGCAGAAGGTGCTTAATATATTAATTAGTGGCATCAGTTATATTGCCTTTGTATTAGACTACATGAGAGAATGGAGGCTTGAAGTAAGCTGTGTGAGAACCAGGTTGATAGAGTAGACTAAGTGAATTTAGTCACTGACTAGATGTGCTATGCAAAGGGAAAGGGGGAATCAAAATGCTCTATACCTTTAAATTTGGGTTACTGGATAATATTTTATCCATTAATTCCATATTTGTTGAGTGCCTACTATATGAAAGGCACAGTTCTGTGAATCAGAGGTAGAGAATTGAATAACACAGTTTTTTAAAAACTGATCTTTGTGGCAGTCTAATAAAGGGAGACAGTAATCTTGTAAATAACATTTATAGTAAGTTGGAAGGTAGTAAATGCCATGGGTGGGGGGAGGGCAGAGACAAATGTTGGGAAATTCTAGGAGTAGAAAGAAGAGTTCCAATGTCAGGTAAGTCTTCCCTGAAGGGAGATGCATGAAGCAGACCTCAGCTATTGAAAGAAGAGTGTTTAGTGCCAGCACCATGGCTCACTGGGTTAATCCTCTGCCTGCGGCGCCGGCATCCCATATGGGCGCCGGATTCTGTCCCGGTTGCTCCTCTTCCAGGCCAGCTCTCTGCGGTGGCCAGGGAGTGCAGTGGAGGATGGCCCAAGTACTTGGGCCCTGCACCCACATGGGGGACCAGGAACTCCATCCAGATCTCCCACAAAGGTGGCAGAGGCCCAAGCACTTGGACCATCGTCTGCTTCTTACCCAGGTGCATTAGCAGGGACCTGGATCAGAAATGGAGCCACAGGGACTCCCAACTGGCATTTATATGGGATGCTGCCATCACAGGTGACAGCTTAACTCTTTGTACCACATAACTGTGCCCAGAACTTTTCTCTTGACAAGTAAATGTATGCAGCTTGCAAGCAGACTCAGTGAAATATCTGCATTTTCCTTTTGTAAGCTTTACTAACTGTATCTTAATTTTGTTTTATAGACAACCACAACTGGGCAAGTGGTGAGGATGACCATGTAGTTGCTAGAGCAGAATATGATTTTGCTGCTGTATCTGAAGAAGAAATTTCTTTCCGCGCTGGTGATATGCTAAACTTAGCTCTTAAAGGTAACAAATCATGAACAGGTTGGAATTATCTCTGAATTCTTAATATTTATAAATGTAGTATTAAAGACTGCAACAAAAGATCTTGTTTATTGTTAGCTGACTTTGAGGTAATTACTAGAATTTTTCTGTGGTATCAGTTTAGACCTTCCAAATCTGGAGGAGACACAGAAAAGTTCACCAACAGAGTTGTCCCAATAATATTTTTGTGTGATAAAGATTTCACTTATATATCTTTTCAAAGCACTTGAATTCCAGACACTTACTAATCCCCAAAAGAATTATATATTGTTATTTAAACATCCCTTTTTGTCCTTGAGTACTGGACTGGCGTTGCCTTCTTTATTATTTGAATAATTTTTACTTCAGAAACTTTTATCATGAGTGTTCTAAAAATTAGTGTAATGAATGTGTTCAAGAACCTCAACAAGAAATTTGTGCTTATCTCGGTTAATTTGTGGACCAGGTCACTAATAGTTTTTAATGACTTTAGGTAGAATTACCTTTTCCTTCACCTTTCCCCAGTAAGGTAACCAGAAATTTTGTGTATTTTTTAAGTGTGTTGTGTGTTTGTGGGGCTTCCATTTTATTGTCAAAAGTCATATTTTGTTGATAAAGGTACTAGTAACAGTAACAGGTATAATTATAGAGTATTTACTATGTATATAGCACTATATTTTACAGCTTCAGTTACCAGGGGTAGGAGCCTTTTTCTACTAAGGGCCATTTGGATATTTATAACATCATTTGCAGACCATACAAAATTATCAACTTAGAAATCAGCCTGCTCTAGATACATTGAATTTTCAGTCCTACCTGCGGTTGCTTTAGCAGGACCAGATCAGATGATTTCGTTTGGTCTTATGCAGTCTGCAGACTGGATGTTTCCTACCCCTGAACCCTTAGATTAATGCTGTAAAGTGGCTGTAATTATTATCCTGTTTTGCACATGAGGAAACTGAGACTCAGAATGAGCAAATGGTCCAGTATCACAAAGCCAAGATGTGATGAATGTAGGTTTGTCTGACTTCGGAGCCTGTGCTTTTAACCACTCTGGATGCCTTTTCTGTGGGAGGATCCATTAATCGATGCTAGAGCCTCTGCTTGGTTTTGGGCACTCTTAAAATAAGGAAAATATACTTACCTTAGGTGTTCAAATCATTACTTTAATGTTATATAACTGAAAAATTTAGATCAAATTACTGAATCTCTGCCTCATTCCTTCATAAATCTTATGCATGTAGATATTGTATTCATATTCTTCTGGTAAAAATAGAAATTATTTTTGATTTCAAAATAATTTTTTTAAATTTGTACTTAAAGACATGAACAACTAGATAATGAGTTTTAATTGATCTAAATAAAGAATGAAGAAGACCAGGTGTGATGTCTTTGAATTACATCATAATATTTCAGAACAATTTATATCTAGTTCTTCAACTAGTCATGCCTTTTAACATTGCCTTTGCTTTTCTCCATTGTTCAAGAAATGTATGTTTGAGCATTTAGAACAAAGTCAGTACAGACATGCTTAATTATATATTTCATTTATTTCCTTTTATAATAGACTATTAAACATAGAAGTCACGTTGTGCTATACTTAAAATGTTGAACTACATTTGTAGCAGTTAAACAGATTTTTGAAGATGTGGATACAATAGATGGTAAAATATACAGAATTGAATATATTACATAATCTTTCTTACCTTAAGCTTAGAATATCACCTTTCACTTCTTATCCTGTCTCTAAAGATAACTGAGGTCTTCAATTTTTTTGTCCATCTTGGATTAAAATACACATTCATTATCTTCAGAATTATTTATCACAATGGGATAGAATGGATTTTATATTTTGGCAAAAAACATGTAAAAAAAGCTGATACGTAAAGGTATAGTTTGTAGAGGAGGTAGACATTTAACATAGCAGTTAAGATACTCATGTCCCATATCGGAGTTCTGGATTCAACTCCCAATTCCAATTCCGTATTCCAGCTTCCTGCTAAGGAAGGCAGCAGGGGATTGCCCAAGTAATTGGCTTCATGCCACCCTTGCCACCCTTGTGAGAGACCTGGCTGTGGCCACAGCTCAGCCCTGGCTGTTGCAGTTGAGGCGTGAGGCAGTAGATAGAAGCTCACTCTGTGAATGTGTGTGTGTGTGTCTATCTTCTCCCCACACATAAATATGTTTTTTAACTTTTTAGAAAAAATAGAATTTAAGGTTTATTTTGGTGGAAAATATTTTTAAAATCTATACATAGTTTTTTTTAAAGCCAGTTTCTTTCTTTCTTTCTTTCTTTCTTTCTTTCTTTCTTTCTTTCTTTCTTTCTTTCTTTCTTTCTCTCTCTCTCTCTCTCTCTCTCTCTCTCTCTCTCTCTTTCTTTCTTTCTTTCTTTCTTTTTTTAGTTTTTGACAGGCAGAGTGGACAGTGAGAGAGACAGAGAGAAAGGTCTTCCTTTGCCATTGGTTCACCCTCCAATGGCTGCCACGGCCAGCGCACCGCGCTGATCCGAAGGCAGGAGCCAGGTGCTTCTTCTCCTGGTCTCCCATGCGGGTGCAGGGCCCAAGCACCTGGGCCATCCTCCACTGCACTCCCTGGCCACAGCAGAGAGCTGGCCTGGAAGAGGGGCAACCGGGACAGAATCCGGAGCCCCAACCGGGACTAGAACCCGGTGTGCCGGCACCGCAAGGTGGAGGATTAGCCTATTGAGCCACGGTGCCGGCCTATACATAGTTTTTTCATACCACAGATTTTTCATGAATTTTTGAAGACCCTTCGTATGTATGGATTTCAAAAGTCTTTGCACTAAAATAAACATCTTTTCATTGCATTTTCTATGAACTTTATAAAATACCTTCATATTTATTTTCTGTACTTATCCTCACTTACCCTGTTGAGAAGCAGTGAGATATTCTTTCCTGAGATTCCAATTTAAAATATTAAAGACATTAATTTAAAATTTTTTTAATTAAAGGCATTGCTAATTTTAGTTTTAAAGATTTTTATTTATTTATTTTAGAGGGAGAGTGGGAGAGACAGAGAAAAAAGTCTTCCATCTACTGGTTCACTCCCTAGATGGCCACAATGACCAGAGCTGGGCCAGTCTGAAACCAGGAGCCAGGAATTTCCTCCAGGTCTTCACATGGATGCAGGGGCCCAAGAACTTGGGCCATCTTCCACTGCTTTCCCAGGCCATAGCAGAGAGCTGGATCGAAAGAGGAGCAGCTGGGACATGAACCGGCATCCATATGGGATGCTGGTGCTACAGGCAGAGGCTTAGCCTACCTACTATGCTGTAGCTCCAGCCCCTAATTTTTAGTTTTAAAGAGGATGAATCTCCTTACCCTATGAGTGGGCCAACTGACAAAAACTTTATGTTCTTCAAGATAGAAAGAAAATTTAGTAAGTAAAAAAATTTAAAATGTAAATTATAATTATGGACCTTAGAACTGGTAGGCGTATTCAGCATTTGATTTTGAATATCTATGTGCATGTACTATTTATTTATATATTTTGTTAGGTAAATGTAACATTTTACTTAAATATGATATTTTACCATCAATAATCTATTGAATCATCCAAGTATGTTATAATTACCAAGCTTTTTTTTTTTCCCCAACAGAACAACAGCCCAGAATACGTGGTTGGCTTCTGGCTAGTCTTGATGGTCAAACAACAGGACTTATACCTGCAAATTATGTCAAAATTCTTGGCAAAAGGAGAGGTAGAAAAACGGTGGAATCGAGTAAAATTTCCAAGCAGCAACAATCTTTTACCAACCCCACACTAATTAAAGGAGCCACAGCCAATGATTCTTTGGATGAACAGGAAGCTGCCTTTGAATCTGTTTTTGTTGAAACAAATAAGGCTCCAGTTGCACCAGATTCCACAGGGAAAAGTGGAGATAAACAAGATCTTTGATCTCTTTCATGATCATATGCAGTTGAACAATAGAGTACTTTTTTAAAATTATTTCTGATAAATCTACAATCCAATGAAAACATGTTATTGGCTATTCCAGGTATTTTGCTGCTAGAAATTATTAAAGTTATATGCAAGTATGTTGGTCTAGTGACCTGGTTATGTGTTACAAGTTATTGGACCACGAGGACATTGGTTTCACCTAGTTTTTAAGATTATGAAGACTGCTATCATTGTCATCTTTTAAATCCCTAGGTTTATTGGAGGGGTAAGACTGGTGAACCATAGGATATATGGTTTGCTGCAGTAGGGATCATTAATGCTTATTAAAATTCAATTCATTGGCTTGTAATCCTCAGAAATTGATAACATAAATATGAGAGCAGGCAAAAAGGAGACCTTTTTTTTAGATCCTTAAGTAAACTGAATAATAAAAATGTTCTGACTCATATTCTATCCAGTGTTGAGTTTGCTTTAGTCAGTAGTAATATGTTTTTGCCCACAAATAATCAATACTATTATCTTTGTATTTTTTAAATGTATCTTGAAAAGGTCACTAGAAGCATTATAGAGATTGTTCTAGAATGACAGAATATAGCCTTTACAGTATTGCTTTACAGTTTGCATTTAGTGATATAACCAGATCTACCAGTAATGCTTTTTTAATCTTTTCATAGATTCTCTGCTTCTACTTTTTAAAATTCCATATTCATGTGTTCTTTAAACATTGAAAATGTGTCACTTTGCATATACATTTGTTTCAGGTTTAGTTTTTACTACTGAGACTATAAACAAAATACTCAATTGGCATTTAGAATGTGATAATGCTATTTGACTTATTTGTTTATTAATGATCATAAATATGGTTAACTTTCAGTACACTAAGTATTTCCCACAAAATTGGAAACTTTGTACACTTGCTGTAATTTCTACAGATTAATACTATCAGGAATACAGGTGTGTAAAAATATGCTTGCAGGTTTTGTTGAAAACTTAGAATTATTTGACAGAGATTACAATTTAGTATTTTTATCTTTATTCTTATAGACTATATTTACCAAATAATTCTAGAACAGTTCAGACTAAAACATACAGGAGCCATAAAATAAACTCAGCATTGAGGAATTTTACTAGAAGCTTTTGGGAAGCCCTTTTTTGAAATGACAATGTAGTAAGTAATGTAGCATTTAAAATAGCAATATTTGTGCAGAAACAGTTATCTTGGGCCTATTTTCATAACAGTTATCTTAAGCCTATTTTCTCAGGTCTAACCCACAAGTTGAGGAGATAGTTTCTTGTATTTTCCATTTGTGTTCTATAATTAAAAGTTCTGCTTTTTTTTGGTAGGGAATAATTTATGGAAATTCTGTTTTTTAAACAAATTTTTGATAAACTGGTATTTGGACATCTAAATTGAATGTTAAAAGGAAAGTGGAAGTGAAACGTGGAGTTAGTGCTACTTATATTAGGAAAGATGAATTATTAGCATAGAATTTATGTCTGCTACTTAAAATGTGCAGGAAGAAGAGTAACAGAATGAATGACAAACCAATTTCACTTTTCTTAAGGTGTTTATTGTTTGGTTAAGTATGCTAAATATAGTATACATTTTCTACTGTTTGGGTCTGGAAATTCCCTTTCTGTTAAAATTCTAGAAAAAGAATTTAAGGCTAGAATAAGCAGAGAAATTTTGTAACCTTTTTTATCATGATAGTTTTATTATAATTCCTAGATGACATTAAATGTTATGGTGAAGGCTCCAATATTTTCATTTTTAGGAACTTACCTAAGAAGTGCTACTTTACAGGAATTACTAATGGAAACCAAAACATTTTCATTTAAATAACAATACTAAGTTAAAGTAAGATAATAGATTTCTTTTCATTTTTATCAGCTCAGAAAGGAAAAGGTAAGAGGATTACAAATTTCCATATTTTAACACTTTTTAGATACTGACTTTGTCAGTATGTCATAATTATTCATTTACCTGAATTCAGTTATCCTTCATTTTATGCTTTCTATGAAAAATTTAATGCAGTTAAATATTTGTAATAGATTAAGTTTCTTTTACTGGAGAAATAAAAATATGTTAAACTTGATGTACATTTTTAAAGAACAACTTAGCTCTTTCTCCAAGATTGGAATTATGTAAGAGCTTCTATTTTTCTTCATGCCACCATATATATACCTACTATAAACCAATATGTCTGTTCTGTTTCTTTGTGATTTGAAGAAAAATATTAGATTTACATTTACATAAAACTTGCAGGTGAGTTAAACAAAACTAAGACCTCAGAGCTAGAATTTGGGAGACCTATAGTCTGGAAACCGCCTTCTTTAACATTTAAATTCCATTGTTTTTCAGTTTCTTCATTGATAACATTGGTAATAGCTACTACATCTACCAACATGAGAGCACTTTAAAAAAAAAGCACAATCAAAAGTATAATTTTTCAGCAATTACATGTTTTATAAGTTTTTCCATGTTTACTTAACCTTCTTAAATCCTGTAAAATTGTCAGTATTTCTGTCCGTCTAGAATTTCAGATTTACAGATACTTAACTAAAAGTTAAAATTACCTCTTCATACTTTAACTCTGCCCAGTTTATAATATAAAATTATTTTACAGGGGTGAGCATTTGGCCTAGCAGTTAAGATACCCACACCCCATTTCAGGGTGCCTGGCTCCCAATCCCAGCTCCCTGCCAGTGCAGACCCTCGGAGGCAGCAGGTGACCACTCAAATAGTTGTGTCCATGCCACCTACTCAGGAGTTGGGCTGAATTCCTGGCATGCTTTCGCTCTCACTCTCTGCAGATATCTCTGCCTCTCAAATAAATTGATAAATAAGTAAAATTATTTGGTGAATACAGGAGAGTCTAACTTAGAAAAACACAGAGGACTATTTGTTCAACACAACAAATTTCATTTTCTCATTATTGCCTTGAAATGCCCTTTCATACTCTATAGTTTTGTATTTACCTTTATTTGGGAGACAGAATTGTTCCTTTTAAGGTTAACTAGTCATGAATCCATGTGTCACTTTACTATATTATGCCCCATGTATAGTTTTTCACATTTCAAAAATTAATGTTGAATTAATCTGACTTAAGTCTTTGAAGTATTTGTTCATGTAAAATAAGTGTTTTGTTTTTTAAGGACCTCAAGGGCTCAGAATTGAATCAGTCATTGACCATACTCTTCATTAAAGACATCAATATCATTGATCAGAAAGGGCACACTTGTTCTGTTTTATTTTACCTTAAAGCTTTTATTCATCCCTGCCTATATTTCCAGTGCTCCTCGTTCCCTTACTGTATTTAATGTTTGTTCTCCATCTTCTATATTTTCTTGAAAACTTTGTAATGATATTTATTTTCTATAAGTTTTTAAAATGTTATATAAGTGATTGTGGGAATGGATTTCATTCTGTTTCCTAAACTATTAGGTTTTTAATACCTATCCATCTTACTTATACTAAGGTACTTCTAAAAAGCTTGTGGAAAAAGTGGAATTAAAATTAAGTTTATTTCAATGAAGAAGAAATTGAAATCCAGGCATACTTTTTTGTACCATGCGTTTACCATGAACTTTTTGAAGAACCCTTAATAGGCTGATTGGTGTATATTCTGCTGTATTCATATGCTGTAGCTTACAGTTTCCTCTCATTATAAATCCTTAGGTTGTTCCCACTTGTGTAAATTTGTACGTTTCCCTATGAACCGTCCCTGTAGTTTCTCTAATATGTATGTCCTGGAGGAGAATGGCTAGAGGTCTGAGGATATACGTATTTAACTTCAGTAAGGATGGTGGATTGTTCTCAGGAATGGTTTACCAGTTTTTTCCAACATGACAGTTTTATTTTCTTTACATCTTCAGTAGCACTTGTCATTTCGTGATTTTTGCTGATCTGGGTAAAAAATTGTATTCTTTCTTAATCTGTATTATCTGATTAATAATCAGAGTAGGTATATGCGTTTTAATCATTCTGGTTTTCTGTATATTGCCCAGACTTAAAATTTGTCTGTTTTTCTATTGAGTTTTTCTTTCTTGCTGATTACAGTATAAGAGTATACCAGATTATTCACTTGTCAGGTTCAGATGTTGGAAATAGTTTAGTCTCATAATTTCTTAATTCATATCTTTGGTGCCCTCCACAGACTAGAAATTCTCCATAGTTTTGTGTGTTTTTTATGTCTTGTTTTTTTTTTTTTTTAAGATTTATTTATTTATTTGAGAAGCAGAGTTATAGACAGACAGGAGGGACAGAGATAGAAGTATTCCACCCACTGGTTCATTCCCCAGATGGCTGCAATGGCCAGAGCTGGACCTATCCAAAGCCAAGAGCCAGGAGCTTATTCCAGGTTCTCCCATGTGAGTGCAGGGGCCTAAGCACTTGGACCATCTTCTATTGCTTTCCTAGGCCATTAGCAGAGAGCTGGACCAGAAGTGGAGCAGCCAGGCCTTGAACTGGCGCCCATATGGGATGCCAGCGCTTCAGGCCGGGGCATCAACCCGCTGCACCACAGCTCCGGCCCTAATGTAGGTCTTTAATTGAGGTTAATTTTTGGATATAGTATGAGTTGTGAATGCAACATTTTCTCCATCTAGCCATTAATGGCAGGGGCGGGGGTCATGAGCAGAACCTTTTCCTTCTCTCTGTGGAAAAATGATCATGAGTTACACTCTCCTTAGCACTGTTTCTTTGGAGATCTACAGGGTTAATTTAATTAAGGAATGTTAGCTAATTACTAGGCAGTATTTTTTTTTTATTGTTAAAAAGAGCATAAGTTTTAAGACTTGTCCGAGTAAGGGATGTCTGTGGTGAATGAACTTGTGGGATCTGGGAGCCTACATTTAAAAGGGTTTTCATTAAGATGATGCCTTTTTTTTTTTTTTTTTTTTTTTTTTTTTGACAGGCAGAGTTAGATAGAGAAAGAGAGAAAGGTCTTCCCTCCAATGGTTCGCCCCATAATGGCTGCTGCGGCCAACACACCATGCTGATCCAAAGCCAGGTGCTTCTCCTGGTCTCCCATGCAGGTGCAGGGCCCAAGTACTTGGGCCATCCTCCACTGCCTTTCCGGACCACAGCAGAGAGCTGGCCTGCAAGAGGAGCTACTGGGACAGAACTAGCACCCCAACCAGGACTAGAACCTGGAGTACCGGCGCCACAGGCAGAGGATTAGCCAAGTGAGCCGCGGCGCCGGCCAAGATGATGCTTCCTGTAGCACAGAGGCCTTAGCTAAGGAAGATGTCCTTTGCATGTCATTTTTTACTGGGCTAGATCCTTTTAACACTCAAAGTACCCTTAGTGCCAAGTTACTTCCTTTTGGGTTTCGTGAGTATGAATGCCTGCTGAGCTTTCCAAGTAGAACTGCTGTCAATCTTCCTAACATCATCTGCTAAATAATCCATATTTTCTCCATTTTATTATATACCAAATGCCCATAAATATGAAATGGGGGGCCTCTGTTCTGTAATATTGATGTACGTCAGTTCCTTTCCCATTGCAACACCTGTCACTTTGAAAGATGTCTTCTCATCTGATAGTTAAACAACCTGCCTTTGTTCTGCTCTGTTAAAAATGTCTTAGCTGTTTGTAGAGTTTATTCTTCTGTGTAAATTTCAGTATCAGCTTATCACATGCCTTAAAATAAGCTGCTGAGGTTTTTGGTTATTTTTTTTTTAAGATTTATTTATTTATTTGAAAGTCAGAGTTACACAGAGAGAGAAGGAGAGGCAGAGAGAGAGAGAGGTCCCCCATCCACTGGTTCACTCCCCATTGGGCCATAATGGCCGGAGCTGTGCTGATCTGAAGCCAGGAGCTTCTTCCGGGTCTCCCATGCAGGTGTAGGGGCCCAAGGACTTGAGCGATCTTCTACTGCTTTCCCAGGCCATAGTGAAGAGCTGGATTGGAAGTGGAGGTCTCGAACCGGTGCCCATATGGAATGCTGGCATTGCAAGCAGCGGCTTTACCCATTACACCACAGCGCCGGCCCCTGCTAAGTTTTTTATTAGAATTGTGCTCAACTTATAATTTAGAAAGAATTGATATATATTTACATGGTAAAGTCATCCCATTTATATTAATTTGTCTTAATTTTTATGAATGCTGTGTTCTAATATTTTCTTGGGTTGTCTGTATGCAAACACATATAATGACACTTTATCTCTGTTTTTTAAAAAGGTTGATTATTTATTTGGAAGTCAGAAATATTCTGTCCACTATTTCATTCCTCAGGTGGCTGCAACAGCCAGGGTGGGGCCAGGCTGAAGCCAGGAGCTTCTTCCAGGTCTCTCACCTGGGTGGCAGGAGCCCAGGCACTTGGGCCATCTTCCACTGCTTTTCCCAGGTGCATTAGCAGGGAGCTGGATCGGAAATGGAGGAATGATGCCAGCTTTGTAGATGGTGGCTTAATCCACTACACCACAATGCTGCCCTGACAGCTTATCAATTCCTTTTCAGTCATACTTCATGTTCGCCTTTATTGATATGGCCAGGTTTTCATTCTACATTTGACATAACTGTGGTAGCAGTCATTTTATCTCATTTCTTCTTCAGAGTCTACAGCTTCTCTATTAAAATATGTTTGCTGTGAGTTTTATGCTAGTTAGTTTTCATCAACAGAAGATCCCTTTTAGTAATTTAAATCTACATTTGTTTAAGTGACCTGGTTTTTCACCTTCAGTAATGGTAATGTGGTAACATTTAATTTTTATTTGCCATGTTTATTTGAAAGACAGAGGGACAGAAAGATGGAGTGAGATCTCCTACCTGCTAATTTAATCCCCATATGCGTGCAACAGCCAGTTCTGGTCCAGGCTGAAGCCAGGAGCCTAAAACTCAATCTGGATCTCCCACATGGATCACTTGTACCACCTATTGCCCTCCAGAGTATGCACTAGCAGGAAACTGTATTGGAAGTAGACTCAAACCAGGCACTCCAACACTGATTTTATTTTTATTGTTTTGTTTTGTTTTGTTTTTTGTTTTAAATGGCTGCTATGGCCAGCGCACTACGCTGATCCGAAGCCAGGAGCCAGGTGCCTCCTCCTGGTCTCCCATGTGGGTGCAGGGCCCAAGCACCTGGGCCATCCCTCCCCTGCCCTCCCGGGCCACAGCAGAGAGCTGGACCAGAAGAGGAGCAACCGGGACAGAATCCGGTGCCCCAATTGGGACCAGAACCCGGGGTGCCAGCGCCACAGGTGGAGGTCCAGCCCAGCAAGCAGCAAGCCGCCTCGCCAACCGATTTTATTATATTGAACCATTCTTGCATTTTTGATATATTGAACCATTGCTTGCATTTTTGATATGATTTTTTCAGTGAAATAATTTACTTTTCAAATATATAAATGACTGTAAAGATTATTAAATATATTATGCAGAAACCTGGCTATATACAGAAAAGACAGTATTGCCACATTTTGATGAATTTTCCCAGGAGAAAATAACTTAAAAAGAGGTACTGCATCGGCCGGCGCCACGGCTCACTAGGCTAATCCTCCACCTACGGCGCCAGCACACCGGGTTCTAGCCCTGGTCGGGGTGCCGGATTCTGTCCTGGTTGCCCCTCTTCCAGGCCAGCCCTCTGCTGTGGCCCAGGAGTGCAGTGGAGGATGGCCCAAGTGCTTGGGCCCTGCACCTGCATGAGAAACCAGGATAAGCACCTGGCTCCTGCCTTCGGATCAGTGCGGTGCGCCGGCTGCAGTGCGGCGGCCATTGGAGGGTGAACCAACGGCAAAGGAAGACCTTTCTCTCTGTCTCTCTCTCACTGTCCACTCTGCCTGTTTAAAAAAAAAAAAAAAAAGGTACTGCATCATAGTCAGTTCTCAGTGTCTTGGAGAATTTAGAAGAACCTTTTCTGGGGGTTATCTGCAGTTAGTGTACTGTGAAAGGTGTCTGGCCATGAGAACTAAGTACCTATGTAACACAGCTGGAGGGAGTGGGCTGCTTGGGCTTTGCCACCTTGAAGCTCCCTGTGGCCATCCTCCAGCTCTTAGGAATAGGTCAAAACAGAACATCTATGTGTTCCTGTGATCCAGGGAACCAGACTTGAAAGAGCAAGGACTTAATCAGCACATGGTTCAGCAAACCACATACAGATTAAAAACTAGGCCAGCCATTTGTAAAATAAAAATAAGGTACAACAGGAGGCACTATGTTGAAGACAGCCTCAGGATGCCTCGTGTCCTTGTGCACAAGTGTGAACTGGTTGCTCCCGAAGAGTCCCTTG